TGAGCCCATGGGATCAAGCCACACAGGTTGCTTCATCTGAGATGGTGCCCACAGTACTGTCCTCTTAGGAACATTGTCTCTACTAACTGAGCTCAAAGGCCACATGCCAGGGTCAAAGATGACCAAGGGTTTAAGGCATACACCAAGAGCCTGACTGACTTGACACTTTTGCAATATTTCAGGTTGGAGGAAAGATGGATGAGAACCGTTTTGTGGCTGTCACCAGTTCCAATGCAGCTAAGATTCTCAACCTATATCCCCGCAAGGGCCGCATCATCCCCGGAGCTGATGCCGATGTCGTGGTGTGGGACCCAGAAGCCACAAAGTAAAATTTGCTACTGATCTCTGAGGCTAGAGGGACTTGGGATTTTTAATAACATATAATACAGAACTCCAAAAGCATATCATCATTGCACTACTTCTAGTGTAGAGACACATGACCCTGGCTTATAGATGGCTGTCTTCTCCCTCTGTTTTCACGTGGTCTTTCCTCTGTGCACACACATGTCTGGTGTCCCAGTCTCTTCTTCCTATAAGGACACCGATCAGATTGGAGTGGCGCCCACCCTATGACCTCATTTTACCTTAATCACCTCTTTAAAGGCCCTATCAATTTGGATATGGTCACATTCTGAGGTACTCGGGGTTGGGCCTTTAACATACAAATTTTGAGGGGCTGCAGTTCAGCCCACCACAACCAGCCTTTGGGGATCATCCCTTTCCACTGAGCTGTGACATCGTTCCCTCTTCTCAGAGCTTTCTCTCCTGCCGTTGCCTCCCCACCAGGACCATCTCAGCCAGCACCCAGGTACAGGGGGGAGACTTCAACCTGTATGAGAACATGCGCTGCCATGGTGTGCCACTGGTCACCATCAGCCGGGGCCGCGTCGTGTATGAGAACGGCGTCTTCATGTGTGCTGAGGGTACCGGCAAGTTCTGTCCCCTGAGGTCCTTCCCAGACACTGTCTACAAGAAGCTGGTCCAGAGAGAGAAGGTAAGGTGGGGAGGGAAGAAAGATGCGGCAAGAGGTTGAAGCCCCCTATTGGGAGGTATCTAATTTGACTGTTTTAAATCTCAAAGACATTCTCACTGTTTTTCCCCCAAATCCTATTGCCATCTTTCTGGTGTCGAGAGGGGAGTGTGTGGCCAGGCAAGGGGAATACTAGAGTTGGAAAATGCCAGAGCTGGCTGGTTACCTCAGTTGGTTAGAGCACAGCCTTTTAACAAACACCGAGGTCATGGATGTTTGTTGACAGTTGCCAAAAAAAAGGAGGAAAATGCTTGTTTCCATTCCCCATCTTTGACTACCAGGTAGAATTTTAAATGATCAGGCAAACAGGGAGTCTGAGTTCCTGAAGGCACGAGAGGGAAATGTGAGTGCGTCTGTGATCGCCAAGTCCCTCTTGATATGCAGGCTTGGGGGCCCCTGACTTATTGCTATTGCTTGGTTCCCTCCCACTCTTAATGAAGTGCAGGGGATAGACCTGGCACTTGGAAAGCCATCATCTAACACATGATAACACAGATGATCCACTCTGCTGGCAAGCTCTCCACACACAAGGGCCCAGAGTTTCCAGAGAAACTCAGATTCCTTGTCTCCCAGAGGCCAACAGGCAAAGAAATCCACAGCCAGGTCTGCTGTAGGGGATTAGACTTGGGTTGCCTGAAAAAAGCATGACTTTAGCTATTGCAGTGTTAAATCCAAAAGCAAATTCAGGGTCTCTCAGTTAAGCGAATGTTCCCATCTCCAATACACTTCCCAGACAAGGACAATGGGCAGGAGGCCGCAGCCCTACCTCTGGAGGATGTGCCAGAAAGAGCTGTAAGAGCAATGCATTCACATGCAAGGGTATCTGACAAAGGTTGGCTATAAACAAACCACATGAAAAATAACAAGGATTGGTGAGGGTGTGAAGAAATTAGAATGCTCCTCCATTGCTGGAAGGAATGTATAATGGTGTGGCCACTGTGGAAACAGCTTGGCTGGTCACCAAAAAGTTAAACATAGAGTGACTGTATGACCCAGCAATTCCACTCTCAGGCATATACCCAAGAGAAATGAAAACCTATGTTTACACAAAAACTTGTACATAATTCTTCATAGCAACACTATTCATAAGGGCCAAAAAGTGGAAGTGGAGACAATCCAAATGTCCGTCAGCTACGAAATGGATAAGCAGATTGTGGCAGATCCATGCAGCGGAATATTATTCAGCCAGAAAAAGGAATGGAGTACCCCATAAATGCTAGAAAACATGGATGAGTCTTGAAACCATTATTGGAAGTGAAAGAAGCCAGACACGAAAGGCCACATATTGTATGATTCCTTTTATACAAAATGTCCAGGAGAATCAAATCCATAGACAGAAAGTAGATTAGTGATTGTCACTGCTGGGGAGAGGGCAGAATGGGCAGTGACTGCTAATGGGTATGGAGTTTCTTTTTGGATCAATGAAAGTGTTTTGGAATTAGAGAGTGGTGATGGTGATGGCTCACTGTGTGCACATACTAAAACCCACTGAGTTGTGTTTTAAAACAGTGAACTTTATGGTATGTGAATTATATCTCAATTTTAAAAAGAATATCGGGCCGGCCCGGTGGCGCACTGGCGAGTGCGTTGCTTGGGAGCGCGGTGGCACTCCCGCCGAGGGTTCGGATCCCATGTGGAGACCGTTCCCGCTCACTGGCTGAGCGCGGTGTGGGCGCAACACCGAGGGTTGCGATCCCGTTGCCGGTCCCCAGTACGGGTGCGACACTGTGGGTTGCGATCCCGTTACCGGTCAGTAAAAAAGACAAAAAGGAAAAAAAAAAAGAATATCTGACAACAGTCTGTGGCAATTCCTAAAAAAGATATTTTAGTTTGGGAATAGGGTCAAAAGAGGGCCAAGAAAGTGTTTCAAGCTTCTGAAAGCCAGCCTCACAGCAATGTAAGATAGTACCAACTCACAGGAGACCACTCCTCGGCCAGCCGCAGGGGAGGAGCATGGACTCCAGGACTCAGGAGCAAGCTTCCTCCAGAACTGGTGATCAAAAGCCTAATGCCATTATAAGGAGAGGTTGGAGGACCAGACAGAGACTAGGTAATTTGCAGCTCACACCAAGGTATAAAATCCTCCCCATCATGGAAAAACTACAAAGGAAAATGCAGTTCTTGAAGATATTCCTGCACTCTCATGAATGCAGCGCCTCAGCTGAATCCAAGAGAGACTTGAAGACCCAGCACTACTAAGAGGTAGTTACTGAATAAGTGAGGTCCCATTTAGACCAGTTTGTCCTTAATGTTCTTTATTTGAGGACCCTGAGCTTCCACCCACTGGGGGTTGTGGTGGACGTCTGTTTTGGAACCTGCTTACTCTAGGAATCGCGTATCTCTCCTTTTGAGCACCAGCTCCTTTCTTCCACTTTGATCTTGGGGCTGTAATGAAGCTGCCAATTCCTAATCTCCATCCAGTCAACTATGGGGAGGAGGAAGGTGCGTACCCCAACCTGACCCAATTAGAGCACTTCCCAAGGAATTTGCTAAAGGAACCATGGAAGAAAGCTCTTCTGGTGGTGAGCTGAGATGACACCAGTGCAGAAGCTGCGGCAAGCCATCTTCCCTTGTGGAGAAAGCTGAGAGAATAGAACAAAATCATCTATCTGCTGTCTAGTGCCCCTGCTCACAACTTCTAGAAAGAAGTAAGGTCTTTGAAGCAGATGGGATTACTTTGCAAACACCATATAGAAGGTTTAGCAAAGCCAAAAGATACAGATAGATGGGGAAGGTGTTTTATTAAGAACAAGAAACAACTTTGGGGGAAAGGCTGCACAAGCCTTGGAATCGATAATAAGTAGACTGTCACCTTCTTTCTGAAGCACATGGAGATCATGACCTGCTTACAATGTTGAGCCAGCAAGACCCAGAGCCAGGCTTATGTGTAACCTGGCTCCACTCTTTGACAGCTGTGTGACCGGGCAAGTTGCTTAACCCCTCTGAGCCTTAGCTTTCACCTCTGCACGTGGGGTAATAATACTACTTCCTTCATAGAGTTGTGTGAGGATTAAATGTGTTAATACATGTAGAGTTCTCAGAACAGCATTTGGCCTGTGATATGTGCCTAATAAATGTTAGCTATTACTACTCTCTTCTCTATCTCTAAGTGGGAAAAAAAATAAGCAAACAGGTTGATAAAAAAAATTCAGAAAGAACATTTCAATGAGTATACTTGGGTTGATACAAATTCAACACACAGTCCCTTTATCTAAAGCACTTATTATAATGACAACTCAAAGTCCTCAAGAAGAAGCCAGTTGTATTTCCCATTCTCTGTTATAGCCCTTAGGTAACAGAATGCAGGCATGCAGAAAAAGAAAACTATTAAATAACCATATTTTCTAAAAAGTATAAAGAGCAGGGACCTCGGAGAAGAGAGCAGCTCTGATACAGGACTTGATGTATAAAGCCAAGAAGCGAGGGGCTGTTAGAAGCTGTGACCTGCCAAGGTCACTCACAGAGTCTGTGCTCCAGTCCCTCACCACTAGACCCTGACCCCTGATGTGGGGACACCAAAGTGCAGCCTGGTAAAGGGCAAAACAGCTCAGACCCAGGTTTGGCACTCTGAGGGCAGAGCTAAACTACAGATATCTTGTCAAAGAATATAAGGAATATGTAGCCTTCAAGAAATCACCGATATCGATTGTTTCTCTCAACAAGATTTTTGATAAGCAGCAAACAGCAAGGAGTTCGTGATTATGTCCCTGATGAGTGCCTGGGGTGTAGGTCGTCTGTGCTGCTCCATCAGACCACGTGCACACACCCCAACACACTTCTTCCTCCTCACAATAGCTCTTTTTAATATGGGGAAGCACCATAAATGACCTTTGCAATTATAACTGCTAGTACTTCTGTATCGTTTGCCATGTGCCCAAGCAGTTCTAAGAGCTTTACATATACACGTATTAATTCATTTGACCTCATAACAACTCCATGATGTAGGTACTGTTATCGTCCAAATGTTACAAATAAGGGAATAGGCACAGAGAGGCTGGGCAACTTGCATAAGCTCACACAGCTTACAAGGGGCAGAACTGGGGTTGCAGTCCAGTCCGTCTGGTTTCACAATATAGGCTGTTAACACTGCTGCCTTTGTAAGTACAGAATTAACTAGTATTGCTACTGGGGGACTCTCACCTCCAGACCAGCTGTCTTTAACCTCTATCCCCACAAAGTTGTCAGACCACAGAAAAGGGCATGTTGGGAGCCTGACAAGGAAGGAGATAACACTGCTTCATGTGAGGGGTGCTCTCCATGGTAAATAGCTCAGAAGCCTACCTGCTACCATGGTGGGGATTCCACCAGTGCTGAGGGGGAGCCAGCGAATATCTCTCCTCTCACATACACATGTGCGTGTACACATGCATGCACACTATTTAGGAGGTACCAAAAAGATATCTCCAGCCCCTAGACTCGAGGTGTAAGAAGCCTTGTCACCTGCAGTAATGCGGCAGCATCTAGCCCCGTCAGCCATCTAGGAGGCTGCAGTCCTACCACCTGGCTCTGATGGTGTTGTCCTTTCCCTTTCGCTTTTTTGCCGTTCTTCATTAGACCTTGAAGGTTAAGGGAGTAGACCGCACCCCCTACCTGGGGGATGTCGCTGTGGTTGTGCATCCCGGGAAAAAAGAGATGGGAACACCGCTCGCAGACACTCCTACCCGGCCCGTCACCCGACATGGGGGCATGCGGGACCTTCATGAATCCAGCTTCAGCCTCTCTGGTAAGAGGGAACAAGGGTGTGGCGGGAGGAGGGCGGGAGTCCAGGAGGAGAGAACCCCCCCCAGGCGGCGGGCCTCTGCCTGCTTCTGCTCTGCGTCCCCCCCTCCCACCCCATCCCATGTCCTGTGATGGGTGTTCCGTATCAGAGACACACAAATACAGGGACACTTCAAAAAGTTCATGGAAAAATAGAATTAAAAGATCATACAAATCTTTCATTAACTTTTTGAAGTCCCCTCTTATTAGGGGGGACATGACCCCCTTTGGGCTCTCTCCATGTTTTCTAAGTTCAGGTATTTCTGTCCTTTGACACATCTTGAGTGCTGTGCACACAGAGGGTGCCCCGGCGATGACCTGGGCTCAGGAGGACCAGCCCTCTCCTCACAGCCTCTCTGCAGGGCCTGTTTTCTGTGATTTCTGTTATTCCCATTCCTCCCTCTTCCCTTCCCACACTTGTCCCCCACATTTGCCCTGTCTTCACCTTCTTTTTTACCAGGAATTGTATCATATGAGGGTACTGCCAAAAGTTCATGGAAAAAATAGAATTAAAAGATAATAGGAATCTTTCCATGAACTTTTTGTACCCTTATACATATTTTATTAATTCTAAGTAAAATATTTTTCTTGCTTGACCTCTGATTCCCAGTTTCTTTCCTTATCTTTCTGTCCCATGGGTCATGTCCTGGCCCCACTCTGTCTGTAGTCTCTGGGTTCTTGGGAAGTGTCCTGTCCTAGTTCTTAATGTCAAGATCTGTTTCCTGCCCCTCCCACCAGCACCAACATGCGGCGCCATGGGCTCCTCTAGGCCGTGGCTGTCTGTGTGCCAACTTCATTGTTGTCAACAGCACATGTCCTGGGTGCTCTGCAGTATTTGAAGGGGGGCGGGGGTCTTTGCCTTGTAAATGGTAACCCTCAGTGGAGAGCAAGCAGAGTCTGCAAGATGCCCTGGTCCCCCAGGCAGCTTTGGTAGAAACTCACCACCGCTTAAAAGGGGCAAGGGGCCTGGGTCTTCCTGAATACGGCTGAGCAGTCTTAGGACTACCCCAGAGAGACACCAGGCATCTGCTCTGCAAGAGCTTTGCTGGAGCCAGAACCATGAGAGGAGCAAGACCCAGGTCCTCCCACTCGGATGTTTAAGCATAGAGTTTTCTGGAAAGGCAAGACCCATACACAAACCATCCTCATATGAGAGGTGGAGGGCTCAACCCAAGGATGCCGAGTGAGTGGGGCCTGCCTGCTTTGTGCTAGGAGCACCTTGTGGCAGAAGATACGTGGTTCCTGTTGGAGGTGCCAGGAGCCTCTGAGAAGGGGTCCTCTCCACCACTCTCCCCGTCCTCTCAGAGCCAATCTCATTGCTGAGATAATGGCTCTCCCACCTCGAGGGCCACTGCCGCTCCCACCAGTGATGGGACATGAATGCCAGGACTCAGAAAGGGACCCATGACTGGAGGACTTCTCCACACACACCCAGGCTGTGCCAGTCTGGGATGTGGATTCCCGCAGCTGCCTGGGCACAGCCCCACGAGAAGCGGCAAGACCCCAGATCTGAGTCCCTGCTGGCCTCTTCTGCTTTCGCTCAAGAGCCAGGGCCAGGAAGAACTCCCCTGGGAGGAGCAAACATCAGGCAGCCTGTCACCTACCTCCGCCCCAAATCTTGTCTGTCCTAGGTAGGACAGGCTGAAGAATGTCCCACTGTGCTCTTTGGGGCACTAGACCCTCCCTTTCTAAGTCTTGGGATTTCAAGATGTGGGGCCTTTGGGGTATGGTTCGCTCACTTTCTAAAACAATGGAGCGTCCTCCCTTCTCCCTGTCTTATTTACTCACCGAGGCATGTGTACAAAGGCCCGCATGCTAATGGGCAACCCATGGTCTGTGTGCACAAGAGACTATATGCCCAGGCTTGGCAGCAGTGAAGTTGGCAGGGTGGGGCAGTTAAGAATGCAGGCTCCGAATTAGGAAAACCAGGGTTCAAATCCAGCTCTACCAGTTACACACTACATAAGATGGGCCAAGTTGAGTAATTCCTCTGAGCCTCAGTTTCCTCATCTGTAAAATGGGCTGGAGTTGCCATGAGGATGAAAGTAGACAGTACACATGGAGGGCTTAGCTCAGCCCCTGACGTAGTATGCCTGCAGTAGCTGGTGGCTGTGGTTTGTCACCAGGCAGGAGCAGCCCCACTCACCCTCTGTGCCTCCTTCCTGCAGGTTCTCAGATCGATGACCATGTTCCAAAGCGAGCTTCGGCTCGGATCCTCGCTCCCCCAGGAGGCAGATCAAGTGGCATTTGGTAAAGGCACTGACCAGCCCCCAAGTGAGGATGCACCGCTGGCACCAGCCCGCACACCCTCCGGCCGCAGCTGCAGGGGCGGGAGAGGCTGGGCTGGGCAGCAAACCACCTGAGGGGGCCCCAGGACCCGGGAGCCCTCCCCATGTCTGAAACGTGATTCACTGTGCTTCGAGCCGACCCTGACAGGCACTTTGAGATATGTTCCTCCTGCTGTAGTCTTTTCCTGCCTTGGCCTCAGCGGCGGGCTTTTCTGGGGCCCAGGAAGCCCACACTATGCACAGAGCCCAACGCATAGAGCCCGGCCCAGCCCCTCCTCTCACACCTGCCTCCACGTGCTGGCTTTGGGAAAGCCCAGACTTGAGTGCCCTGCCCCTGGCTGGGCGGCCAGGTGTCCAGAGCACTTTAGCAGATGTATTGTAAAAGTAAAGGCCTCCCCACCCACCTCCTTAGGCCCCATGGTGACATTTCCCAAGTCAGACAGGTGTCAGCTTCCCAGCCATGCCCAGGACATCCCGTTTCTCCTGACTCACCTCTGGCCCTGTGTGGGTGTGGTTGGGACCCCCTGGGTGTGGGTGTGGTTGGGACACCCTGTGCCCTTTGCCAGCTTTTCCTTCCCCCACCCATGCCCTCTGGGAGTCACAGGCCCAGAGGGTAGCTGGGGGGTGGGACAGGCACGAGGCTGGTGCCAGGCACGTGTACATGGTTTTGTTTTGCACGTTTGGTTTGCGCAGTGGTTTGGTTTGACTTGTTTGTGCATCCTGTGAAAAATAACGGTGCTTTGTGTCCCTAGCATAGCATAGAAACAGGAATAGATGTGGTCCTTAGGAGACGCTGCACTCGACACCAACCAGACAGCACAGGGCAGAGGCAGTGGTGCGCTGGCCTCTCAGGCCCCTCTTCTTCCCACCTGGGGTCCTCTGGGCTGCTGAGGCCCTGGCCCAGGCCTTCTTCTCCCCTCTCCTCCTGGTCTAGTTTCCTACATTCTGAGAGGGCGCCTGGGATGCTGGCCCTGGAGACCTTCAGCAGCCTCGTGGCCTTTCCCATCTCTGCCCCTGGTCAGTCACAGCACTAACCGCGCCCCCCCCCCCCCCCCCCCCCCCCCCCC